GTGCCGCTTTCTTTGAGGGGCCTGGTCCAGGCCTGGGGCTTCCCTCGGCCTCGGCGCTGAGGCAGAGCTGAGCACAGCGCTGATTTGGGGCGGCTCGTTCGTTTGTTCCCCTCTTCCCCCGCCGCCGGTCGCCCATCCCGCCGTGGCTCTCAGACGGGAAGGGTCTTTCCAGCTTTTGAAAGCACTGCGTGCGAGTGCCCAGAGCGTAACTTTTTAAACCTTTAAATGTCTTGCAGAACTTCGAAACAGCCGTACAGGAGAATATCACCATTAACGGGCAGCCCTGGGAGGAGACTTCGGATGACTCGGAACTGCAAAGCGGTAGGTGTCGCTTTTTGTTAACGTCTCCCCCCCCCCCCCCCCCCCCCAACGGTAATGAACTTTTTCATTGGGCCGTTTTTCCTCCCGCTCTCTGTGGTAATAACGGTGCTCGTGGAGCAGATAAGGTTGAACTCGAGCTCGGATGCGAACTGAAGCGCTGCGCTGCAGGAACACAGTGCGCGCACATCAGTGTTCATAAATTAACAGAAAGGTAACCAAAAAGTGTAGGGACTTGTATTCAAGAGCAAATGACAGAGAAGACAGCTTTATTTGGAAGGTCGTCGTTCTGTTTGACATATCCAGATTCTTTTAGGTCTTTAGGCACACTTTCCAACTATTAGCCGTTACAATATCTAAATAACTCTGAGGAGCTGCTTAAAAACACTAAGGAAGAATAGCTTAGAGACTCCCAAAGTATCTCCTGTTAAAATAGAAAAACTTAAGGTTTAACCAATTTTAATAGCAACTGTCCTGCTAGAAGGTTTACAGCAGGCCTTCGTCAAGTTTGCAGATGACATCAAATCACGGTGAGGTGCTGTCAGAAACGCTCAAGGGCATGCTGCCATTCGGAGAGACCTACACAGGCTAGAGAAATGAGCCCCTGGAACCTCATGAAATTCAACAAGGGTAATAGCAAAGCCCTGCACCAGGGCAGGCATAACCCCCGGCAGTGGCCCAGGATGGGAACTGACTGCCTCTGCTGAAAAGGATGTAGGTATCCTGGTTGGGCTAACTGTGAGCCAACAGTGTGCCCTGACAGCTATGAAGGCCACAGCTTGCTGGGCTATCTTGACAGGAGGGTAGCCAGTAGATCCAGGGAAGTGATTATTCCCCTTTATTTGGTGCTCATTGGAGCACATCTGGAATAGTGTGCCTGGTGCTGGGCTTCCCCGTACGGGAAGGATGTTGATAAACTAGAACGAGTTCAGCAGAGGCTGTCAAGATCGCAAGGCAGCTGGATCACTTGCCCTGTGAGTTGAGGCTAAGAGAACAGGGCTTGTTTAGCCCGGAGAATGTGGGGCAGCGTTCCAGACCTATGAGGAAGTTACCAAGAATACAGAGCCAGGCTTGTCATTGAAGTGCATAGAGGAAGAAACAGAAATAGGGGTCATAAATTGAAACAGGAGGTTCTGCTTTGACATAACCAAAAAAAAAAAATCACTGTGAGGATAACTAAGCATTGGAGGAGGTTGCCCAGCGGCGTTGCGTGTGTGATCTCTATCCTTGGAAGCTCTCAAGAACCAACTGGACAAAGCCCTAAGCAACCAGGTCTGAATCTGATATTGACCCTGCTATGAGCAGAAGGCTTGACTGGAGACCTCCTGAGGGCTTCTCCAGCCTGAGTGATTCTGTGCTGAAGCCAACATCTCTTCCTCTCAAGAGAACTAGCAGTGTGCGTGTTGCTACTGTTTCATATACTAATTAAGTAAAAGTTTATAATTACTGCTTGGAGCATCTTTTAGCTGATAGTAATGGGGATTCTTGATTAAAATGCCATTCAAAGAAAATTTCTATTTGATTCATTGATTCAGCTATGTTAGTGTCAGATGTTCTTTGCCTATAACTTGATGCTCTTCAGTTGCGTATTGAACTGGCTATGGGAGAAGAGCTTCTTGAACAGGTTTTTTCAGAAAGCTGCTACAATTGCAGGTCTTGAGTGATGAAGCTCCCATTGTATATCTGGCACATAGCATTTTCTTCAGAATCCAAGAGTTTCTTCCTAAAAGGAAAAAAATCTCAATTCAGATCATCCTGAAAACACTTTTCCTGGGGAATTTGTTTCTAATTTAATATGGATATATATGAGTGAAATGTTTATCTATTGCTCTCACTTTGTGGGTTTTAAAACGTCACTGAACTTTGACCCCTTGAGATATCAAGTCCGCGTTGGACCTATGAAAAGGTCAAAAATGCGTTGGTCTCATGATGCAAAATCCTGAACCAATTCAGCCTCACATCACTATTTCAAACTTATTCAAAAATTCTTAGTAGGCATACATTGTCCTGATAGATATTATTTTCAGTAAGTTATCCTCAATATAGTCTAGCTTTGTGCCCACTGAGATACTGCTGTCTTCCTGCAACTGGTATAAAGCAGGTGTAAGCACTGTATTGTGCTCTGTAATTTGACATAATTTTAATTATGTGCTTATATCTGATCTTAATCCAGTTTGAATCACCAAGTGCTCTGGTGTTTCATGCTTTTGGTGTTTGTGTGGACCAGTAGGCCAAGCCTTTCCTCTCTGTACTTGAAGATTTTATGGTGATTTACCACTCCTCCTGCAAAAAACACCGCTAAACAAACGCCGTCTTGATTTTGCCTTTGAGGTTTGCAGTCGTCTGGTGCTACACAGATTGGCCAAGAGAGGGAGCTCAAAACCTATTCTTTAGCAGTAGGTTGGGTGGCTTGCAAATTGTGCTCAGCACATTAACGGGACCAGTGAATTAATTCTAAGGGATCTGCAAAAGTAAATCAATATGAAAATAATATCTTAAGCTTTAAAAACCGTTAAGTTTAATGGCAGTCTTGGAGAAGCTGAGTACATGAAGTAGAGTAACAGTAGTCAAAACACTTCAATCAGCAAGTGGAAATATGTTCTGGGCAATTTTATGATCAGAAGAAAAAGCTATAAAAGCTGGCTCCTACCTGATACAGGCATGTCTAGTAGGTGTCAGATGTTGAAAGCAAACTTATTTTATTTTTTACGGGCTGTACATGTCTAGTAATTATGACGGCCTCAGGACGCAGAATATTTTTGGGAGCCAAGTTTCATTAAGGTGGTATAGTATGTTGAAGATTCACAGACAAATCTTAACATTAAAATGTATGTCTGTTATCTATATGATATACAATCTTTTAGGCTTCTAGTTGGTCAGTAAATGTGTTTAATGCTTAAAAATAACACAGATCAATCCACTTTTCTTGCAGCATCTTACATTATTTATCTTCAGTTGAAAAAACAAGTTATCGCAAAAGACAGTTCTTCCTTTGTGAGTCTTTCTTCTCTTCACCGTTTCAGAACACGCAGAAAAATGCTTTGGATTTTTTTTTTTTCCCCAGAGCTTCACCCTACTCTCTTCCTTAAAAAGTAATTGGTCAACAGCAAGTTGTGTTCCAGTTTCCATTTCGCATTACAAGTAGATCCAGGAGAGATGCCTTCATCTTCAGTGATAATCGTGCATGATTTCTTATTTCAGATCTAAAGCTTTTTCCTTATAACTTTGTCTCAAAGGGAAAAAAATGGTAGGAGCATTCTTGTAATAACTTTGCATGCTTCTGATTTTAGGTTCGAACATCAAAATTCTTGAAGATCAGTTTGATGAACTTATAGTAGAGACAACAACAAAGCGTAAGCAGTGGCCTAAAAAGATACTGATGCATGCTATCCAAACCATGAAAGGGGAGCAAGAGATGTTGGTGAGTAAGCTACAATTTTCAGAAAATCTTTGCACAGAGTAGTTACTGGCCATAAGTAGCTAGGAGAATTCACCAAGTGTTGACCCATAAGCTCCTTTCCACAGTTGTTTTTGTTTCTTTGTCATGTTACAAAATCATTTCTTTGCATTAATTTGCATTAATTTGTTCATCAGTAAATTGAGGATTGCTACGAAGTATTGTGAAGTGTGAGTGAACTGAGGCTGTAGCACAGGTCAGCAATTTACTTGGGCAGGTTGCTTCAACATGATGACTCGTGTGTTAGAAGTTAGTATATACCTGTTTATCTTGTCAAATCAAGGTTTCTGAAATCCTTGGCTGAAGGCTGCTGTTGAACTACTAAATGTTATGAGATATAAGTAGATGTTATCTTGTGCGGCGTATGACTTTTTAAAGATATTTGAGTTTTTCCTGAGCCCTGTTGTTGAGCTAATAACTACATTGAATAAGCAAGTTCAGTAAAGAAGGAAAAAAAAGCCAATCATGAGTAGGTGCAGCAATTTTTCTTTTTTTTTGGTACTGAGCTTAAAATAACTACTGGCATGAAGCAGCCCAGTCACATTCTTGGGTGCTGAATTTCACTTTGGCAGCTGTGCTAGGTCTGCCTTTGGCTTACCTGTGGATTAACCAGGAACCAACTTTTATTTCTGTCATCTGTGTTGTCATCCTAAAAAGCTGCCATTTTCTTCCCATCTCTTGAAGTACCTTTCTTAGTATCTGTCCTTTGACCGTATTCTTAAACTTTATTACTTTAGTGGCTGGTTAGTAGTTTCTAATATGATTTTGGAGAAAAAAATCAGCTCAATCTAGGAGTGAAAGGCATGGATGTCTTTAAAAGGATTCACCTACATTGTTTGAGCTGTTTCAGTGCGTGTACTTGTGTTTGTAATCAAAGGTGAGGTGGTTTACTGCCCTCTGTTCGGAGGCTCCAGATGGGATGGCAGGTAAGTACATTTGCCACGTGGATCCAGAAGTACTTTCTTTTCCCTCCTCTCTTAATTATGCCTTGTATGTGTTGTACCTTCCACAGGCAAGCTGTTACTGCGTTTCCATAGATTTCTGCCTCAGTAAAGACTTCAGAATTGTATTCTTCAAATTCGAGGCATGGGAATGCATGCATAAATGAACGGCGTCCTTGCTAGAGGAGAATTGCTAAAGAAAGGCTAGCATTATACAATGCTGTAGTCTACAGGGGTGCTGTAGCGTGCAGGGATTAGGTTAGGAAAGTCAAAGCCCCCCTGGAGTTGAATCTGGCAAGGAACATGAAGGGCACCAAGAAGGGCTTCTATAGGTAAATCAGCAGCAAAGGGAGGACTAGTGGAAATGTAGGCCCACTGCTGAATGGAGCAGGAGACCTGGTAACAGAGAATATGGGGAAAGACTGAGGTACTTGATGCCTTCTTTGCTTTAGTCTTTATGAGTAAGACTGTCCTCCAGGAAATGCAGGCCCCTGGAACCCGTGGTAAAGTCTGGGGCTAGGAAAACTTACCCTTGGTAGAGGAGGGTCAAGCTAGGGAGCGTTTAAACAAACTAGACCTACGCAAGTCCATGGGACTTAATGGGTTGTAGCCACAAGTGCTGAGGGAGCTTGCTGATGCTGATGTTATTGCGAGGCGACTCTCAATTATCTTCGAAAGGTCATAGCAGTTGAGGGGGGTTCTTGAGAACTGGAAGAAAGCAAATGTTACTTTTGTCTTCAAGAAGGAGGATCCAGGGAACTTCTGGTCGGTCAGTCTCACCTCGACCCCTGGGAAGGTGATGGGGCAATCCTGGGAGCCATTTCCAAACAGTAAGGACGAGAAAGTGATTGGGAGAGGCTAGCATGGGTTTATGAAGCAGAAATCATGCCTGACCATTCTGATGGCCTTCTATGATGAGGTGTGTAGCAATGGATGCAGGGAGAGCAGTGGATGTTACTTATCTTGACTTCAGCAAGGCTTTTGACGTTCTCTCGCATAGCATCCTCACAGACAAACTGATCAGGTACGGACTAGGTAAGCGGACTCTGAGGTGGATTAAAACAGCTGAACTGTTGGATTCAAGGGATTGTGATCAGTATGAATTCCAGCTTGGAGGCCAGGCACCAGTGGTGTATCTCAGGGGTCAATACTGCAACCCATACTGTTTAGCATCTTTGCTTATGACCCAGATGACGGGTCAGAAAGCACCCTCAGCAAGTTTGCAGAGGATACAAAACTGGAAGGAGTGGCTGATACACCACAGGGCTGTACTGCTGTTCAGAGGGACCTCGACAGGCTGGAGAAATGGGCAGAGAGGAAATTTGTGAAGTTCAGCAAAGGGAAATGCAAAGTCCTGCACCTAAGGAGGGATAACCCCGTGCACCAGGACAGGCTGGGAGCTGACCAGCTGGAGAGCACGTTTGCAGAGAAGGGCCTGGGAGTCCTGATGGACAAGTTGAACGTGGGCAGTAATGCTCCCTTGTGGCAAATGTCAACAGCATCCTGGGCTGCATTGGGCAGAGAGTTGCCAGCAAATTGAGGGAGGTGATTCCTCCCCCTCTACTCAGCCTCGGTGAGGCCACATCTGGAGTGCTGGATTCAGTGCTGGGCTCCCCAGTACGAAAGAGACACGGACATACCAAGTGAGTCCGGTGAAAGGCCACAAAGATGACAAAGGGACTGGAGCATCTGATGTATGACGAGAGGCTGAGAGAGCTGGAACTGCTCAGCCTCAAGAGAAAGCTCAGGAAAGGGATCTTATCAATGTACATAAATACTTGTTGAAGAGGGAGTAAAGAAGATGGAGCCGGACTCTTCTCAGTGGTGCCCATGACAGGACAAGAGGAAATGGGCACAGATGGAAATACAGGAAATGCCACCTAAACATAAGAAAAAAACTTTTTTACTCTGAAGGTAGTTGAACACTAGAACAGGTTACCCAGTGAGGCTGTTGAGTCTGCATCCTTGGAGATATTCAAAACCTGACTAGAGGCAGCCTAAGCAATCTGCTCAAGTTATTGACCCTGCTTTGAGCAGGCCTTGGCCTAGACCATATTCTAGAGGTCTCTCCAGCCTCGGTTATTCTGATTCTGTACTAAAGAAGATGGGGGATTTTTTTAGCAAGTAGTTTAAGAGCTTCTGTTGTTCTAAGGACTAAAATTGACAAAGGGTAAATAACTCTTTAGGTTAGCTGAGCATAGATGATTTACAGTTTAAAGTTTAAAAAAAAAAAATTGTCTTAAGTCTTGGATACTTCCCAACATATATTGCATTTTGAGATCTCTCTATGTATCGGCACTATATCAAGTACATCAAAAAAAAAAATCATCAAACATATAGCTTGCTATTGTACAACACGAAGATTTAATAAGAGCTTTTAATCTTTTTGCAAAAGGAGAATTATGCTCTACTAGTAGAGTAGATGAGTTATTTAGTAAATGAGTATTTAGAATGCCTCTCAACCTACCTTTTTGCTGTTGCTGACCCATTCAGTTTTTATAACAACACAACTGGATGATTATTTTAGTTAAGTGTCTGCAAAATATAGGCAGTTTCTAGTGTACCTCTGTAAATGACTTCATTTTTCCTCTCGGCTATTTCTGTGTACCTGGTAGTGGTTTCCCTGTTGAGTGAGGCGTTTTCTTGTTCTTTTTTGACCCTAACTACTCAAGATGCGTGTTTTTTGAGACATAAGAGGTTGCTATGAAGATGCTGTGTGTAACAGAGGTTTAACTGGAGAGAACCGCTCACTTAGTGCCATGATCTCCCTACAACTGCCAGAGCAAGACCTCCTCATGGAATTTTTCAACTGATAGTTCTGTAACGTTTGAGCTAATGCAAGCAACGTTCTTTTTTTCTGTTTGGAGCTGTTACTGTAGACTTGCTATACGAACTGTGAAAGTTTTGCTCTGATTCAACTACAAGGAGGAATAAGTAATTTTCCTCATGTTTTTTGGCTCAAGAAGGATGAGGAGCCGCTCTTGAAGTGGAAAAAAAAATATTTAACTTGAGGATGATACAACTTACATTCCCTTGTCTTCGCTTTGTGTCTTCTTTCCCCAGTAGCCTCTTACTTATGATTCCACCTTGAATAAAGCTAAACATTACAACTTCGTTTCTGTCACGATCAACTGATGTCAAGTCACAAGCTGCATAGTGGGGCCAAAGAGTCAGAGAGCCTCGTTTGTGAGGGAGAATGTTCTCATTCATGCATAAATACATGCAGAGAAATAATATAGTCATTTAAAGTAGTTTTCTTTTTCTTCGCTTTTTGTATAAATGTGCCCTTTGTTCAAGTTTGCTGCTCTGTGAAAGCGTACCAGTTTTGTGAATGGTTCCTTAGAAGTCACGGCAGTTCTGTTTCCTCAGTTGTGCAGCAGATGGCAATGCTTCATCCAAAATGTCTGGATTATAGCTTAGAAATCCTCGTGCATTAATAATTAGAATTTTCCAAACTACAGTAGATTTTGGAGACTTGTGCGCAGTGAGCTTAATGACTATGTTAACCAGAACACTATTTCCAGTAACTGAGCATCTTTAAAAAATGCATACAGTTTACTCTTTATCTAAATAATTCCACCATCTCCTTCCATTAGCCTTTCTCCATTGTTCTAACTGCTATGTAGGCATTAGATATATATTACAGCAAGAAGATATTTCAGTTTGTTTTGTTTTGTTAATATGCAGAAGCTCTACCAGCCTGTCGTAACGCCAGAAGAGATACGATCACGACCTTCTCAAGGTAAAGATTTCTCAGTGGAGGGCAGCTGTATTGAGGGAATACTACCTACCTTACTGGCTAGCTGTTAATGTTTCAAAAGTTTTTGTTCTTTAAATTTATTTAGAGTCATTGACAGTTTAAATACTTCAGCAAAATAGCTCGAAGTTAGTCATAGCTCAGTATATTGCTGCATCCATTTATTAACTTATATCCAACTCTCTTGTTCTAAATGCTGTTTGCTGTTATGCACTGTACTTGAAGGCAAGAGCTGGCCGCTGTGTAGGTATTGCATCAAGATTGTCACATAATTACCTTCAACAGGTTTTCTTACCGCTTTCCTTGAGCGCTGGTGGAGACAAGATGTGGAACTAGATGGATCGTTGACATTAAACTTTGGCAGGTCTTAAGTTCCTTTTACATAAGTACTAGAAATGTTTCAGTCTCTATTCCTATCTATCAGTTTCTTCTGGAGATTGTTCAGTACTGGGTGATGGTAGCGTTGAGTCTCCTTATTGTTATAGTATGTATGAAATGTTATCCTGTTTGTGCAATTTGTAAGTGCTGGAGAAGAAACATAACTGTAAACGTTGCCCTAAGTTTGTTAGGTGCTTTTGAAAGGTTATTCGTTACACAAACTTCTTGGAACAGAGCAGTAAATATTGCAGTTCCTGAATGGGCTGTGCTTTTATGAGGCTGGCCTTAAGAAATGGCAAATTCTAACCTGCCTGCTCGTAACTATTGAAAACGACAGAGTTTACCAACACTGTGTGAAGTTGAAAAATGCGGTTACAGAACCGTTACTAGGGATTACTGCACATAACATAAAGCCGGTGTAACAAACAGTGTTGTTAAATGAAGTCTGAGAGGCAAAGCTTAAGCTTCCAGGTCTGAGCCTGCTGATCTGACTTTACTCTAGGCACCGTTTCCTCTTTGTAAGCAGTAGTAGACATTGCTTCCAGAAATGCCAGCCCGTGCAGCAAAGCAGCCAACAGGAGCAGTAAAGAGCTTCACTTCATATTTGGGTTTCTTTCAGTTTCTGGTGTCTGGATCTGTGCTTTTCTGGTGTGAATAAAATGCTACTTGACAGTTGTTAACAGCTTGCACTAAGATACTGCCTTTTTAGGTTGGGTAACAGTGAAGTCCTAACCAGATAACGTGCAGTTTGTGCTGAATTTTAGTATCTATGTAGTCTTTGGGAAGTTTATGTATCCCAGTTTAGCAAGTACAGTGGCCAGAAACCAAAAATGTTTAGATTACTCAATACCTTTCATTTCCTTTTTTCATTTCCCTATGTTTTGGAAAGCCTTGAACACTGAGGAATATAGTGCTGTCCATGTAAAACTCAACTCCTGCGGGCAAATTTCATTTCACTGTGTATCGGTCTTTCTGTATATCTGGAATAATCCAAGTAATTATTTATTTATTTATTTATTTCTAATTCCTTCCTTGCAGCTTCATAGGATCACCAGTTTTCTAATCTCAGTACCCTATTGTAAAAAAGTCTTCCTTGTGGACATATTTTTCTTTTAGAGTGTGTCCACTCAGAAGCCTCTGCCGTGTATTTAGACAGGCTGCTGTTTGATTATTTTTCCCTCCAAACACTGAATCACGGTGCATTTTAGTGTTCATTTCCGTACATGGATTATGCATTCCTAAGGCATGTCTGATCAGTACATTGCGCACGTGGAGAGAC